TTTGTGGGTGTAAATAGAGTGTGTGACTCTATTTACGTGCTGGTGTTCAAACGAACACTTGCACCTGCAATAAACAAATATCACCCAAAAGCGATGAAATTGTACGAAAAATAAACACATGATGCCTCCATTACTAGTGCTAAGCATCGGCGTATCGCGTATTGTGTATCGTGTATCGTCATTGTGGCAGTGTACCGTCATATGTTGCTTACTCTGTGAAAATTAATTGCCTTTAACCAACAGTTTTAGTTGCGGTAGCACCGGCAGCCATTTCATCACACTTTCATTTCGGAAATGAATAGTTTTAAACCAAACCACTAAAATTAAATGTGCCCGATATGAGGATGGCTGATTTTAATAGTCTTCATGTGTTTCAAAAATATTTTAATATTAAAGTATTTTCCTGAAGCTAGAAATTTTAGAACAAACCCTGCTGACACACTTTGAAATAATCTCAAATATTATTGAAATAGAAATGCGAAATGATGTTGCATTAGACTATTTGTTTTCCAATACATAATGCAATATTATATGAAAATGGAAATACTTAGCTGAAAATTACATATATTCCCAATTAGAAATTAGTCAGAGTCCATACTATCTTATAGACGTACACAATCGTTACACAAAGCGACACTTTTATTCGCCAATTATTTTATTCAACGTCGTTCTTTGTTGTTTTGTTTAATATTTTATATTTTGCATGAAACATAAAGAGTGATGGGTTAAATAGTTTATTCGCTTTCTTAACTAATTAGTGGATACCCTTACATCTCACATAGTTTCCAGCATCAAGCTCATATAGTTTAATAGATATTTTGCTTCTAAAGTTGAACAACCTGATAGACAGTAAAGAAAGAACACCCATTAAAATCCGTTCCTTCTGCTACACAAAATGGGTCTCTAGTGTCTAGTGTAAGCTCTAGTGTCTAAGACTCTTATAAATAAAATTCCATAAAGTTATTTCGCATGATATTCTGAAAATTTTGATTCTGACAATTCTGAAAATTATACGATCAGTGATCTTTGCTTTTCTCATTAAACATTATATGTATGACATGTTGTGTCATCTTATGACAGACCCGTAGCAAGATACTTTCTTGTAAAGAAATACATAAAAGACCCGTATTATAGAATAGAAATAAAATCCTGTACGTGATTATGGTGTTTTGTGAAATATCTTCGATCATCTTGTGGATCATCAAAGTATTAATATATTTATGAGTGTTTCGATTGTTTAGATTTCAAGACGCATTGGGTATTAAATTGTCATAAAATTAAAAATCCGTGTGAAATTATTTTTTTTTTTTGTAAATAATAATAACGATTGTTATTTTCATATTATATTTTTAGTATGTCCTATTATCTTAAGGACACTTTTTGCGAAAAAACATCTTCATCTATCACACACCGTTTTCTTACATTTGATCTCTAAAGGTATCTATCTATGCCTTTTCCGAAACGGAATTTGTGGGTGTGATTTGTAGGTAGATTATTTTGTATCCCGATTATAAAAAGCGGGTGCGTTTTATATTGTAATTTTCTTTACAAAAAAATGCTTACAACGTAATAAGAAGATAGTTTTATGTATACCTATATATATATAAAACAAGCAAACAAATTCCCAAAGATATTTGGACTAAATAAATTTTTCCAAAAAATAATCAAAAATTTTCCAAACAAATGCCAACACATATTAAATATTAAAATGAAGGATATTTTATGACCTGTGATTGACACGTTGCTTCAACTTAATAGATAAACCGCTTTTGAGATGCTAAGGAAACCCCTATTTATGACTGGGTTTTTTTCCATATAAAATTTCTTGAATATTATTTATATCGATTAAATTTAAGAGTATAGTTTTATTTTTATTATAGTGTTCATAATTTTACAAACCTATGAAAATATTTTAGTATGTTAGTAATATAATTATTACTAGTGTTATAATTATTATTGAATATTTTTGTCGTGTTTATATATGGTATACATTTTCTGAAATTTCATTTTATTTCTTACATATTTGTATTATTAATTTTCTATCTTAAAAAACTTAGAACATCCCTTTGGTGTTTCATAAATTGTATGTCTCCGTTAAGAGGGCATAGTGGATCTCTCGGTCGTAATGCCAAATCCTCAAAACTATTCGAAGTCTATGAGGTGGGCACACTAGATCTCTCGATGAGATTATCGTGTGAACTAATTGGAAGATTTATTTGAATCTTTATTTGTTTCCTACACAAAAGTAATATAATATTATAGTTAGCAGATGGGATGAAAGCATGGTTAGGGATTGAGTGGCTGATTTTGTTTTTTTTAACTTTTTTTGGAGAAGGTGGGAGGGGAGATGGGGAGGAGTGGATTAAAGACAAAATTAAGGTATATATTTTTATAGTTGATAGTATAAACAACTGATTGAAGATACCCATCAGCAGAATATTAGTTTTTGAGAGTTTTTTTGAGAACTAATAGGTTAATCGGGTTTTTGTTTCCGAATATTATGTTTCTGTGTCAGTTGATTAGAATGTGTTATATTGAGTATGGAATGCTGCAGAACGGACAAGAGGGTGACGGTGATCTATTAAATAAGTATGAGTGGGTTAAATTAATAAGTCCTAGTCTTATCAGATATATTTTTTGTTTCGCTTACATAGTACGGTATTTTAAACGAACAGTTTTCTTAATCGGATAAATAGATTGGTGTGTCCATCTACATCCACATAAGAGAGCTTTCACTGTACTAATACAATTGACTGTATATTCAGTTGTTCAGCAACTAATACACTACAGTGAATAGTCGAAAACATTTGTCTTCCTTCCTTGTAATGTATGAGTATGGAAATTGTGCTATTCGGCAACTGTTCAACACGCACGCCCACATTACATCGCCTCCTCACCCATTTTGTCTATGTTCCCATTAAAATTTAATTAAAAACAATTAAAATCACATTTGCACATTCCTAACATTTTGTGCCCAGGATGAAAACGTGCAGTTCAATGGGAACGGCGTTGATCAAAGGTGCGAACAAATTGTTTAGATTTCGTAAAGTGAGTTTTTGTTTCGAATATTTTTTAATTTATAAAGAAAAAGTCTATCTTTTTAACTACAAAAAGAATTTTTTTTTATTTCTGTGTTGTTGCTTTGATTTGTATTTAAACTTAAACAGCGAAAAAAAAACCATTTTGTTTGAGTAAATAAAATTTTGTTTGCCTTGCCTTGCCACCTTTTCAGAATGATATTCAGGAAGTTTGCTGGCAGAAAATGAAAAACTAAAAATATTTTCCTCGTCTATCTATTTTTTCTATTACATACTCGTATATTGCGTTAAGTAACAATAGCACCAACAATAATAATTACAACAATTAGAATAACAAAAAAGGTTAAGGTGTAGAATTTATTAATGGATTTTTGATTACAAATGAAATAATCGAAATGAAACAGATGCAAAAATTCGTAATAGACTTTTTTTCGTCTATTTTTTTGTCTATTTTTTCCATATAACTTATCTTCTTCGCCAAATTTATAAACTCAATTTGAAAGAATTTCTTGTAATAATATTTACAATTTCTTAACACAAATATTTGTGTAGTATGTTTTTTTTAATTTATATTATTTTTATATTGAAAGAAAGAAGAAAACGAAAAGAAAATAATTCAATAGAATTACGATTATATTTAACTTTAACTTTCAGTACAAGTGCTAGAGCAATTCATATACGAGTATTTTCTAGAAAGAAATATTATAGGGCGAATGCTCATTAGATAGATATATTATCTCTTAGGGTTTATAATAATAAATAATGATTATTTATATTTCATATATATAATATATTTACTTCAATTAAATTATTGTAATTGGGCAACGAAGAAGCTATATTAATGTACTTACAGGATCTATAATAATAAAATTAAAAATACATTTATTATTAGCTTTCCGTTTTCAGCATATAAATTTAAATATCTTCATCTTCAGCTTAATAAATAACATATACTTATATAGTCACAGTTGCAATAAAATGTGTGCGTATAAAGTTCAAAGTCAAAAAATATTTTTATATAGAACATCTGAATACACCACCTAGCTTAATAACTCCCCAATTTCACGATTGCTGATAACACAACTATTCTTATCGCATACAAAACCTATTTTATAGCAATTAACCAGTGAACTAACCATCTCACTAAACATCTCAACCTCAATCAGAAATCTAAATTCGATTATTAGCACTCATTTTGCATAACCTTATGTCCTTTAACCATCTTAAATATTGCCATCAATCCACCAGCGATGCATTATAAATTTAATTTAATAATATAAACATATGTATTATATTTAGCAGAAAAACATTTATCCAGGTGATTCCAAACTGTTAATAGTGAAATCTCTTTTTATTGACCTCGTAAAGTTAAAATTTTACTGATTCTAATTATCAAAAATCAACTTCCACATTTCCATGAATATGCGACTTAATATGTAAAAGCAGCATCGAAAAATCCCTGGGGAATTTTATTTAGTGCGGTCAATTTAGTTCAACTCGCACACAGGCAAAATGCTCGCATAAGACGAGTGTGCGGAAAACCCTGATTACGGTTGCGTTAACCTTTCTAAATTCTACGAAAGTGTAGCAGATAACCTTCCTTGTTCAATATTGATACCACATGTCCACTAATATGAGACTTTAGTTTTATCCCAAATTATGAAAATTTCATTAACTCTCTTTTAAGAAGTTTTGTGTCTTAGTATGTTATTCGAATAGTATAAATAGAGTGAATAGAAGGAATTTGTATCAATATCTCAAAAACAGTCAAAGAGTGTGTATCAAGTTAATATATTGTTAACACTTCCACATAGAGTAACAAACGTTCATTAAATTAAACAAACTAATTATTAACAACAAAAGTTGTTTCTGAAATAAAATCCCAAAATCTGTTACTAAAAATTGTTTAATCAATTACTTTCAAAAATAAAACAGAATTCAAAAATTGAAAACATTAACAGAATGTCAACAAAAACAAGTTGTGATAACAGAAAGAAAGCAAATGTAGAAGATAATAGTTCTAATGAGGTAGCTTCTGATGTCACTCAACAACAACAAAATCAAAGGAAAGGATCAATAAAACCCACAGGTTTAGAGGAAAAAGAAGCCTCTTGCAAAAAGATGAGAAAGTTACAAATTGCCAATGCTGAAGTATCAGAATCGGGTGATTCTGGTTTTATCTCTGGACAAATACTGACAACAATTGACGAGAGTGAAGGAGCTGTTGGTAACAGTAGTGACGATGTTCTGGAGCAATATGACCAAAAACAAGATTATCATCCAACTGAAGACAAAGAATTGGAAAAAGTTGTGGTCGACTCAGGCTGTATTGTCGGAGATGATAATGAAGTCTCGATTAATCAAGATCACCATGAATTAAGTGAACAGCAAGAAGAAATTCAGCGCGAACACTCAAACCCTACAGTTGCTGTTACAATATCCTCTGCATCCAACGTTGACAACAAGAGCCTCACAACAACAGCAGCTGGTCAAATAATCCCTAAACAGAATATTAATGATGAAATGTCGAAAATGTTGAATAATCTCAATCTGGATACAAAAACAACAACACATCCACAACAACAACAGCAACAGCCACAACCAAAAAAACTGATATTTGAAAATGTGAAAAATTTGAATGCGATCCAGAGTAGACTAGCGGCCGCTTTTAAACGGTCAACACCGACAACTACAACTGGCAATAACAATCAAAACTCAACCACTAATGACCAACAGCAAGAAGTGATTGGAGAAACTGGTTCTGTTATAACATCCCCAACATCCGGTTTACTACCTTCAGATGCATGGGAACAATTCTATCAACAAGACAATAATGGCGACACAATATTGCATTTGGCATGCCGTTATGGTTATGTCAAAGTTGTGGCTACTCTCATACGTATGGCGCCACATCCGTGCCTATTTAATATACAAAATGATGCTGCACTGACACCATTACATTGTGCTGCCATCGCAGAAGAGACAAAAATTTTACGCCTGTTGCTGATAGCAGGAGCTGAGCCAACTCTACGTGATAAGCGTGGTAATACAGCATTGCATATCGCTTGCATTATTGGCGAGGAGCAATGTGTTCGTGCACTGACTGTACCAATAAGCACATCCGAAATAGATCAAGCACATTATTTATTTGATCGCAGCTCCGATGAGGAAACTGTCTCTTCTTTCAACTATGTTCGTTTGCCATCTGATCTGGAAATTAGTAACTATGACGGTAAGAGATGTGTCCATTTAGCAGCACTAGCTGAACATATTGATATATTAAGGATCTTGGTTTGTTATGGTGCTGATATCAATGCCAGAGAAAGAAAAGCAGGATACACTCCACTCCATATGGCTACTGAATCTCGCAATAAAGCATTAGCCAATTTTCTATTTGATGAGTGCCAAAAGCTCAACATAGAAACACCCACTTATGCAGGTTTAACAGCATATCAATTGGCTGGTGTACTACAGTACTCTCAATGGCAAAACATCTTAGTAAAACGTGGTGCTCAACCTATACCGCCACCTGACAGAGATTAAAACCACAATAAAATAATATGAAGAGCTTGAAATTCTAATATGGAATGATAAATATGGAATGATTAAAACAACAATAAATATGCTATATGTCTGAATATAAGTGCAGATATCTATTATGACTTAAAATGCAAATATCGAAGTGTTAAAATATCTTTAAATTTACATCAATATATAAATGCTTTTAAAAATTATAAGAGTTTTTCACATTTAAAAAAAAAACTAAATAAATACTTTTAATTGAATTTCAGGACTTTCTGTTTTTATCCATAATACTTTCAATTATAATACTTAATGCTTTGAAAAGAAAAGCATTTTATTTTTATTAAAATATTATTAAAGAACTACAACATATACCATCTTTGGTATCATCATGATCCTGAGATCATGACGATTTTATTCACTTTTTAGATCAAATAATCTTTTCCGTATTTTTCCGCTGAATGATCGAAAACATTTTGAATAAAATTAAAAACATATTTATTTGTTTTTTATTTAACAATGATAATTAAATAATTTTTACTTAATTTCCCCTACTCTTCATTCCTATACTTGTATAATCGAATTAGATTAAATGAAGAAGCGTGTGTGGGTGTGTGTGTGTGTGTGTGTGTGCAAGGATAGCTACTCCAAGTTACTACAATATATTTGAATTGCACAAATATTGTCCTGACCTCCTATAGTGAACTGCATGTCTGTTATCCTCATTACATCCAATTTACATTTTATATTATTTCTTATTACGGAAAGCTCCCTGCCCTTCTATGTTCATTATCTGTGCAGCACAACGTCGTTGCGATTTCATAAGGAAAAGGACAATGTCGAGTGTGAGTAACAGGATGTGATTCGAACAATCCTTGTACATGAACTTACCTGCTTTTACCTACGTAAAACGTATAAACCAGTTGCATTTTTCAAATTTTTTACAATTTACTTAATTGCCTTATGCGGAAATATAATTAAAATATTACAAAGTTTTTAAAGCAATAAAAACATTCGTTATTTATTTTATTAAATCCACGTAGGTTAGCACTAAGAGCACTAATAGTTATTCTTTTAAACTCTTAAATATTTTTATTTATATAATGGTTAGAAAAAATGGATTAATATTTAAATCCATGGCACCGCAACGATCTATCATTTTAGCGTTAGAGTGATTCGGTGTAAAGGCGTCACTTCAACAAAGAAATTACAGATTTCAAAGAATATTGTTAGAAAAAGTGTATTCCAAAAACAGAGGGGAACTTATAGGTCAAAAATGTCTATTTATTCATTTATAGTAAGTATGCCGAAGACATATAAGTGATTTTTCTTAAAAAAAGACAATTTTCCTTTAAACGTTTAACTACAAATTCAGATATTTAGGAAGGAAATAGGTTTTATATTTGATCGCAGTTAGCTCAAATTATCCTAAAATCGTTGAAAAATGAAGAAAAGTGGAGAAAGACTTCTTTCTTGGTGTCAGCGTGCATTTTAATCAAAGCAATCGTTTTTTTATTATTAGTTATAAATGCAAAGAAAAACTGTGTTCTGGGCATTAAAAAACTGAATTCATTAAAAAAAATTTCGATTTCTTTAAAATAAAAATATTTTCTGTATCAAAACCGCAAATATAAAGTCATCTTTCTATAGAAAATCCACCGCAAAATCATACAGTCAATAAAATACCGATAACAACTTTTTAAATAATAAATTGCAGTAATTATAAGCTCTTCAATATACAAAAAAGCATTAATACTTATTTCTTTCACTTCTTATTCACTTTTCAATATAAAAATCAGAAGCAGAGAAAATTAAATAAAAATCATTAAAATCTATTTTCACAAAATTGCAAAAGTTTTTGTATCTGTTAGATACATTTCTTCCTTTTTCTTTTTTCTTTTTTCGTTTATTTTTATTTTTTTTTTTGATATTTATTTATTTATTTATTAAAGTTCCTCAAGATCTGAAAATTATTTGGTGTGCGTTTTTTTTTCTTTTATTTGAACTGAAATCTAAGTACATATAAGTTGTACTGAAGAAGCGGAAGCTAGACGCACAAAGGAAAAGATTAAATAGCAGCACTTTCATTGAAGGTTAAGTAATCTTCCCGAATGTCTTAATGCGTGAATCATTGGGAATCACTCATTCATAAAATTATTTTGAATACTTCAGTGTTTAGTGTTTACCAGAGATAATAAACAACAATTAGAAATAAGCCAAAAAGATATATTTTCCGAAATTCAGTTGTTTGGAAAATTAAGTGCACTAATATTTACTAAGAAAATAGTTGAAATTAAATATTAAACAATTTTTAAACCATTTTTCTTTAGATATTAAAAACAAAAATCATAAAATGGAAAGCCACATAAATTAAAGATAAAGAAGTCTTACTTTTTTAGATTTGCTTTGAAAAATTCGAAAGCAATTAAAATAATTTGTTAAAACCATAAAGCCAGCAGCCAATGAAAAAGTTACTCATACCACCTGTTGTACAATATTTAATTATGTTCCTATATAACGCGTACTCTTAAGATAAAATACATGAAATGTTATTTGTAAACTAAAAAACACCATTTTTGTTCTTTCATAAAATAATAATAAAATATGATATATAAAAAATACCAAAGAGAGAGCATTGAGCACAATAAAATGATGTAAAATGATGTTTATCTTAAAAATGTTTAAAAATAAACACAGGATGTTGGTATAAAATAACGAGATTATATTAATTAATAATTATTACATTTAATTTATATCGCCGCCAATGGAAACCCCTGCTTTGTCAATACAACGCCCCATGCGTTTGTTTCATTGTCCAAAACGTTGTTGGAAGTCTTCTTCAGGACACTTTCGGGGAACCTAAGAAGAAATCCTAAATTAGATTTTATTTAAAATTAAATATGAGAGAAGAAACTATTTTTAAAATAGAATAATACGAACAGCACGTTAGATCAGATTAATTTGGCAGTCGGTCTGGTTAACTAACTCACTTAGACCGTACAGGGTTATTGTGTTACCACAATTTAATATGTATCCTCCATTTTAAAGCGCTTATAAAGGAAGCGCAGTATATTCCTAACCAACGTTGGATATCTCTGTGAGAAAAACTTAAACATAGAACTATTTCAAGTGTTATCAAATATCCATGAGTAGTGGCCTTGTGGAAGTAATTCTTCTTAATTTTTAAGTCCATATGTACTTTCTTTTTATTGGCCAGTATTACTTCATTACATATTACAACATGTTATTATTACATATTACTTATTTTTTTTTATTGGTTCAAAGAAATTCATACATTACTTACAAAATAATAGAATTTTATTTAAAATCTAAAATGGGTGAACAATATATAATATTAGTATTATATATAATATCCAGATCAGTGAAAGCGACTTGCCATGTGTCTATGTAATCATTATGTAGTACATGATTAGTATTATATATTGCTAATTTTTTTTGAAATTAACTTATAAAAAAAATAATAATAATTTGATATTAATAATAATAATATGATAATAATAATAATATGGTAAAAAATATTTTTTTAAAAGGCCATTAATATTAATTTATTTATTTTCTTAAATCCTGTAAAATTAACAAAAAGCCATTTGTTAACGTATACCATATCTCCATACCGATAATTTGTTAACGTATACCATATCTCCGTACCAATAGGGTATTCATCATCTATCCAGACTCGTTGGTTCAGATCCAAAGAACTCTTGTTTGCAAAAATCCAATGAAGTGTATATTTGACTTGGGAATTTAGCTCTAAACTTCGACCATGTTCGTCCATGACATGATCATGATTTTCACTTTTTATGATGACTTCATATAAAAGTAATTTATTTTCCAGCGATAATTGAGAATATAAGCTTTTATTTCGAGCTTTAACTTTGAGTGTATTTCTATACGTATTTCGGCAAATTCGCTATTTTTTTAAATTTTTGTGTCTATGTATGATAATATTGTAAAATATTATCAGAAACTAACTTTTATCTTTAATGGTAGATCCATTTCATCTTGGATTCTACAGAAAAGCCAGTCATCGATAAATTTTGATACGTATGTCATACCGCCCACAAAAAGTTGAATTCAAATTATTGAAGCAGCCTAATAATGCAACTCACAATAATATATATTATATATTTATATATATATTTATATATGGTATTTGATAAATACATTTAATAACTAAACCACAAAACGTCTGTTGCACTTTAAACGCTCGAATTTTCTTCGAATTTTGCTAAAATTCTGTTAAATTTATATATTTCTACAAAATTTTTTAATATTTATTTATTAGTTGTTATTGTAGTTGCACACATAACATTTTATATATATATTATTTATTATTTAAATTTTTACAATTTATAGAAAATTATTTGCAACTCAATTCCTAGAACTTATGTATTATTAAAAATGCAAAAATTGCATTCAACAGAAAATAATCAAAATTAATTGCATATGCGATAGTCGTCGCCGATTTATATTAGATTTTTTATTGAATTTGCACTGATCAGATTAGCAGTTCAATACAATAGTCTATAGTCTATAGTGTAGTATAGTCTATGTAGTGGTAAGATTTATGTTCTCACTAAACTCAGTTAAGTGCTGTTAATTAATAGCGTTTTTATAAATTCTATTTATTTAATAATTGTTTTTTATGTGTTTTTTTTTCTTCTCTATTTTACAGATAACATTTCGCGCATGGAAAGTGACGACGACAATGTTGGATTAAGTGATATTAGTAAGTATTATTCTGTACAATATTCTGTACTGTAAATAAGTGACTTAATCACACTAACCAAACCAACTTCACTTTATTATTGATTCAAAATAATATTTTATTAACAATTGTAATTAACAATTGAAATTGTTGTTAAAAAGGTAGGAGAGAAGAAAGTTCAATTCATGCTAAAGTATTTCATAATCTATAGTTGAGATTATCGCTTATCAAAATTAGACAAAAGAATACGAACTTTGATAGCTAATGTTTAAACTACAAGATATCTTACAGGTTAAAACGAAATACTTATCAAAAAATTTTTGATTTATTTATGTATGTATTATAAATGTTAAAATTTGTTTATGTTGAAGCACTTTTACTAATAATAAACTAATAATCAGGGGCGCATTTAACGTAAGACTGGCGTGGCAGATCGTCACGGGGGGCGTGAGCCGTTCCTTTACAAATCTATGAAGAAGAAAAAAATTAAAAAAATTTTTTTTGTTTTTAAAAGATTTTATTCTAACCGATATTTCGAATATAATCTATAGTCATCATCAAGGTACTATAAAATTTTAATACCATATAACAATATTTTAGTCAAATATTCTGATGATGACTATAGTTTATAGTCGAAATACCGTTTAAAATAAAATCTTTTAAAAACAAATAAAAATTTTTCAAAAAATTTTATTTGGTCATTAAAATAATAAATTATTAAAAAAAACTTACATAAAACCAGGGACCGTAACAATTGTCATTAAAAATATTAAAATTCACCGTATAACTATTAACCTACGCATTTTAAAATAAAACTCAAAAAATTATAATTAAATTTGCTTTAAATTTAATCCTTAAATACAGTTTTGTATGAAATTACAAAAACAACTACCTTGTATGAAAAATTCATTTTATATTCTCGGTTTTAAAAATATTCGGCAGGCGAGTGTGACTTACATTTTATTTTCAAAAATAAGAGTTATTTTTTATTTTTATATTTATAAGGCAAAAATAATAGTTATTTGTGCATTTTAAAATAAAAAATAAAATAAGCATGTAAGAGTTATTTTTGATGAATATAATATAAAGCGTTAAACTTGGCCTATTTTGTGGTATCTCCGGTAATACGTGTTTACAAGCTCTCGAAGAAAGGACACTAGAACACCTGATGTGTCTATTTCCAGGTTTGGCCAGATCTCTTGTATTAGCATTGACCAGATTCTTGTCTTTATAAATGTCTCTGGCTGGTTCTAGCTCAACCTTCTCTCTACTACACACTATTACGAGGTTTATATAAACGAGTATAAAAAGTTTTTCAAGTTACGTTTTTAACATTTTTTTGATGTTAAGAGCTAGATGAAGGGTCATATCTCTTTGCAACACTTAAAATATTGCAATATTCTGTTCCAATGCTACCACGAAGCATGCCTGAGCTCTTGAAAGACAAAGCGTTAGTATGATTAACCGACGGAATTGGACAACTTAATTATAACTAAAACTCTTTTTTCTTCAACTACGTAAAATTGTAATATATAAATAAATAAAATACAAAATAAAAATAAAATTTTAATTAACATTAAAATATTCTATACAGAGGTTTTCGAACAGTAGTGAACTACAACAACAAAAATTCATTTTATACTATTTTAATTAATTCAATTTTTGACTGACCATACAGCTGTTTCGAGTATTACTAAATACCCATTATCAGTGGTCTTGGAAAAAATTCTTGTATTTAATTATTCGTAAATAATTTTTGGAGACAACAAGTACCAGGGTTTGAACTCGTGCCCTGCCAAATTTGATACTTAGAGTCAGCGTTCATTAAGCAACTGACCTAAAGTCGTATTTGACTTTATTAGGTCATTATGTTCGCACATAATTCTTGTAAATACCCATGGACAACTGTGAGCTATCTCAGCTATCAATGACCGTGACAAGTGATTTGTTTAAAGAATTTTATTAATTTGCTAATATTTGGCAATCTCAAAATATCTTAATGAATACTGATATTCAACGCTGATAATATCCTGATTAATCATTGTATCTAGCAGCAAATAATATATAGTTTGCAAGGTAACAGTGAATATTATTCGCTGCTATTTGAAAAGGCTTAGGGCAGTTTCTTTTCATTCTAGCTATTGCATGCATTCATGTCGATCTCTGGTGTAGGGGCATAGCTAATATCGACTACAAACCAAACCTTCCAAAAATCTTCCTCACTTGCCGAATACAGACCGAATATAAATTTTATATGAGCTCGAGCATAATTTTGATGACCAGTAAACCCTAATTATAAAGCACTTCAGCTTTTTTTGTGTTTAATTAAATATTTTGTTTAAATAAATATTTAAATATTTGCTCAGTTAATAACAGCACACTTTACATTAAACTATGATATTGTCGCAAAAGACAAAAACAAAACGATTCCCCTGGTATCCCATGAAAAAAAACAACATCAGGTTTGTTTTGGTGAAAATCGGCTTCCGAAATCGTTTCACCAGATTGATATTTTACATTTAGCATTATTACTGATAATTTTAGAAATAGATCATTATATTCACGTTTCACAAATAAATGACTAACTTCTATGCTCCCAAGTAAATTATGTTTTCTAAGAACGTGTTAAATCTATATCGAGTTTTAAATTAAACCAAGGTATTTCAAGGAATTACATTAGAAGTCGGCTATGTAAAAAGAGAATATTGGTAAAGTTGACTTCAGCAATAAACTGATAAGTCGATTAATTGGATTGTTTTTCTCGGAAAAAAAATTAAACTAATATAAAAATACAGTAAATAAAAAACCCAATATCCTTCCATAAAACTAATTCTTAAGATAAATAATACTGATATAACATATTATAATTATTTTTAAAAATATGAATTTAAACATCTTATAACTTCTTATAATAAGAAATAACGTTCCGCCATTGTCATTATCTTTAATATGTATATGTCTATAATTTCTAGATTTTTTAAGAAAAAAATTGCAAATTTAAAAGAAATTATTTTTGTATTTATTATTTTCAAATTTATCATTTTAAAAATTAAGATTTGATTTGTTAAAAAATGTATATAAAAACTTGTAATGATCACTCATAAATTTGTGTAAATAAAAAATAAAAATATCAAACATTACTTTTCTTATTGTTAATTTGAGAAGCACAGCATTTCTAATTCCAATCCCTAATTAAATGATTCAATGCGAACATTAATTTTATGATAATTATTGCATATTATTAACTCTGAGAACAAATATCAAAACTTGAAACGCTTGGCTGGGAGAAATTGTAGAAAAAAACCCACTAATTTTTAAGATCTGGAATTCCCCACAACCCACTACGTCACATACATTGCCCCGAGCCCTGCCCCCAACGCTCTCATCCATTTAGAATTTTAATTTGCTGCTGGACTGGACAACTTTGATTCATTCAACTAATCTGGGTTTTTCCATTTTTGATTTTTTTCACACTCAAACCCGAGAAAAAAATTAACATTCGTAGTAAAGTAGCAGAAAGTAGCAGCTGCTCAGGCAGAAATTTATATATAAAATATAGATAACCGCAACTTATTACTTTACGTCTGATGAAAAAAAAAATTAAAAAAAATTAAAAAAAATTTGAAAATTAATAAAAAAAGTATGTAATACAACACAATTATTTATAATTTCAAACAACTGTTAAACGTGTTTTACTACTTGCAGTTCTAATGATGTGAGGGCTACAACTCAGAGAGTTTTTGAATATAAGAAAGTGCCACAGAAGTTAAATACTGTTAAATCACTTCAGTCCTAAAGTCGCTGTTATCGCTTGAACTCAACATTAGATAGGTCCAGAAATGATGCTTGGCAATATGAAACATTAATTCGCGTTATCATTTTAAATGAAAATAAAAAATATATATTTTGACAATAATAATAAATATTTAAATTAAAGCAAACATATATGTATATAATATATATGGTAGGCAACATAAATTGAGCTTGCTTAGAGGCTTCAGCGTTAGTTAGTGTCGAAGAGCAAACAAGAAGAATGAACTCAAGAAATTTTCATATTAATTTCGCACTTAATTTCCGACTGAAATTTTGAAATTAATTAAAAATTGTGAACCTAAAAATAATATAAACAAAGACACTTGGGAAAGTGCCCATGCAATATCGGATTACTATAGCTCAGTTCGAAACAAAATATATTAAAAACGTGAAAATAAACATTGTTGGGAAGATATTTTTATGGAATTGTCTGATATAAATATGACTAAGTGCCTTCAATAAAAATAAAATTAATAAAAATATATCAAAAATGCTAACAACTATAAAAAATAATAATATACTAAACTAACAATAATTAAACATACTTCAAAGTATTAAAAAGTCAGCCAATTAAATAGACAATCACTTGAAAGCATCGAAATTTAATATCTCATAATACACAAGTATTAAATAATAATATATTTATATGTGGACCTAACACTCGCCAATAAATCGGAATTTACAGTGCATGTCAAGTGTTTAGTGGTATAAAGTTTTTAACTGAACAAAGCTTAACGTTAGCGACTTTAAGACTTAAAATATTCAAAAATTCTTTCAGTATTGTTTAATATAAAATTTAAACATATAAGAAACATAATTATTAATTGAATTTAAATTATTAATGCTTTAATAGTGAAGACATAATGGTAAAAAAACGTTCTGTACACATTAACCATATAGTGGAGATCCCGAGGGATCCTTATTATATACCAAATTACAGCTTAGGTAAGAAGTTCTTCAAAAAAAAAAAAAACTTATTTAATAAATTAATAATAAATAAAATAATATATGAGAAAAAAATACGTAGAAGTTCTATATATAAAATCTAGATCTTCTAAACATCAAAAGATTTTTGAACATTTTCTTTTCTCCACAATTTTCTAACTGATCTATATAAAAAGTTTGTTTTCATTTTTTACTAAATAATAATATGATATATTTTATTGTTTACTATTATATTATTGTATTGTATATAAGCAGTTAAGATACTTTTTAAAACAAATTGGATCACATAAAAAAGTGACTTAAGAATACGTCTGACATAAAATGTTAAAATGTTTAACAGAAGTAAATTTAATAAACTTTTCTCATTTTCAATTATTTAAATTGAATTAATTAAAAATCAAACAACAAAAAAAAACGAAAACGATTAAGAAAATTGTAATTATAAATTAATTTATTGCAAAAATATTTAAAAAAATTTCAATAAGTCTTATCAGCAATATCTCTCTCTCATTGCCTTTCATACAAAATCTTTCATTTAAACAAATCGAAGGTCCAAGAAAAAAATTTAATTATTTAAGCAATTAAGCAATTAACAATAAAACCAACAATAAAAGAAAGCAAAGCAAATTATAATAAAAAAATTGGTGCTATAAGTCAATCATTCGCCGGGTTAATTACGGCCCTAAAAATAAAATTCGAACATTTTCTGTCCATTTACCAACCCACAAAAGAGAACACTAAATCCAAAAGTCTTAGCCACAATGAAGGCAAAAAAATTAATGAAAATAGTTTTACGTAAATTTCGTTATAAACAATCGACATACGAGTAAGTTAAAATGTATTTTAAACAAAAATAATTTCAAAATTATTTTAAAATAATTTTAAAATAATTTCCTAAAATAAATATTAAATGAAGAAAAACTGAAAAACTGAAAAACTGAATTCTGATGACGTCGGACTTCGCATCTGGCACCGGAGAAACCGCAATTTTTGAAAACGAAATTCCTTTCAATTACAAAAGTTGAACAATTGAATCCGAAATGGTCGCAATTAGCTCAGTTACCAGCCGATAAATACACTTGGATCGTATAAACATCTTAAGTACTTCTTGCTTTAGCTGTTCGAGGTTTGCTGCGCATATACTTACTCTATCAGTGACAGACCAGTGACAGACGCTCTTAGAACACTTATAAAGTATGTCATTTCTGTTATACTGTGAATGAAAAATATTCCTACAAAGTCAATATTCCTAAACATAGGTGTAAGACTAGTTTCTCTGATTCTAGTTATAATCGGGGGAACTAGTCAATTTAATTATATAATATAATGAATTTAATACACTTTTCACTCAGATTAGACAATCTTTAGGAAAGTTGTAAATTTGATTAAACTAATAAAAGCATAAATTTTATCTTCGTTATTCCTCCCAAATATCTAAACAATCGATTTTGCAATAGTTTTCCTTATAAAAAAACTATCGAAAAACTATTAAAATCTTGAGAACCAGAACGGGAAAACTATCATTTTCGAGTTTCCTTATAAATATTTCAAATATATGATAGGTTCCCTTATAAAAAAACTATAGTAATGCGTTAGTCACACTACAATTTTATATAATACTCGTAGGATAGAAAGTTTTTCAATCGGTCTCCCACAAAAATGTTATGATCTTTGTTAGAAAAACTGTCGCCAAATTGGGGCCAATAATCAAAAGGCAAAATTGGGGCCAATAATCAAAAGGCAATTATAAGTTCGAAGTTGTGAAAGACTTTGTTTATTTAGGAACCAGCTTAAACACCAAAAATGACGTCAGCCTAGAGATTCAACGAAGAATTACTCTTGCCAACAAATGTTACTTCGGGCTAAGTAAGCAATTGAGAAATAAAGCCCTCTCTCGACAAACAAAAATCACGCTCTACAAATCCCTTATCATGCCTGTCCTGCTGTATGGTGCAGAAGCTTGGACAATTACCAACAGTGATGAGAAGGCGTTAGGAGCATTCGAGAGAAAAATTCTTCGGAAGATCTATGGTCCCTTACGCGTTGGCGACGAGTATCGAATTAGATGGAACGATGAGCTGTATGAGCTATACCGCGACATTGACATAGTTAAGCGCATAAAAATTCAGCGGCTACGCTGGCTTGGTCATGTCGTGCGAATGGAAGAAAGTGCTCCGGCTAGAAAGGTATTTGATTCGGTACCCGCAGGTGGAAAACGCGGTAGAGGACGTCCGCATCTTCGGTGGAAGGACCAGGTGACCAACGATTTGGGGGCGCTCGGTACTACCAACTGGCGTCAGAAGGCAACTAATCGGGCTGACTGGCGGAGGCTACTCGACGCGGCCAAGGACGACACACGTCTGTAATGGCCAACTAAGTAAGTAAGTAAGTAATCAAAAGGCATTGTTGTGGAACTGCCTTCTAGTCTCAAAGATGATACAACATAAAAATTCAACTAATATATATAAAAACAGATATAATTAATAAGCGTAATTAATCTATTTTTACTACTATCTGCGTTTAGCTATACACATTACTATTTGTTAAGATTATCTTTTAAAATAGAATCAGACTCGCATGTCAGACATATTCTCAGCTTAGTGTACTTCACACTGATTGAATGGATAATAGCAAATGTGTTAAATGTTTATACTTAGCTCTATGTTTAAGTTTAAGGCCGAGTGACGTACTCCACATAGGCTATGTATATATCTCTGCCACTGCCTTATGGCTGTTGTTTTTATATATGTTTCTAAGATACGTGTATACTGTCTTGATTAAAAAAGTATCTGTTATTTATTTTCACTTAGAATGTTTGAGGCTTTCAATATCAGGCCTTTTCAGTTCTTCTAAGTTCTCGAAAAAGTATATATAAGAATTATACAGCAGCTTTCGTTAAGATTATATCCGTACAATAGGTGGGAGCTTGATAAATCTTTCTCTTTCTGTTAGGCAAACTTAGTTATTAGAAAGGATATAAAGGTTATAAAGGATATAATCTTGTGAATGTATTATAGAAGAGTGCAGTGTTAATTTCTGGCATTAATGGCTCGTTATGTCACCTAATTTGTGTTTTTCTGATGAAAGAGCCCTATATTCAGATAACAGGTTCTGCAATGCAGTATATTATAGAATGTGGAGATTAATGCTGCTTGGATATGTGTGAAGCATCTAATATCTTATGTGTGAAATACCTAATATAATAATGTTCTAGTAAATGAACTATAGTAGTATTACAAAGAATTTACTCTGTTAATGATTTACTCTCTTACTTCTCTTAATGACGGCTCCTTAATGGTAAAGAGTGTCATTTGAAGTTGATATTAGGAAAAATAAAAGATTTTCGAATACAAAGATTATAAATTAAATTTCAAAAATTGTACTTGCTTTTTAATCAAACATTTATTACTTTTATATAATCTAATTTTAATTTTAACATATTTTCTCTTTCTATTTCACAGTTGATATTTTAAACACTCTTGATAACCAAAGCATAGATATTAATGGAGCATCCACAGCACAAACAGAACCACAAATGAACGCAGTGTTAACATCTTTAATGAACGCATCATCTCCAAGTTCCCCAACCAATATGCAGTCGCCGGTGTTTACACAAGGATCACAACAAAATCTACAAAACAAATCCGCACCAAAACCATTCATTAATATTGTGGAACAACCAGCTACAAAGGCACTCAGATTTCGTTATAAATGTGAGGGACGTTCGGCCGGTTCTATACCTGGCCTGAATTCTACACCCGAAAATAAAACGTATCCCACTATTGAAATAGTGGGATATAAAGGTGATGTTGTCATAGTTGTATCATGTGTTACAAAGGATCCGCCATATAGACAACATCCACATTATTTGGTGGGCAAAGATGGTTGCAAAGATGGTATATGTACCCTTGTCTTAAGCGGCGAACCTCTGCGAGCAGTTTTCTCTAATTTAGGTATACAATGTGTGAAGAAAAATGACATCAAAGCTGCATTGGAAGTACGTGAGCGTCTACAAGTGGATCCATTTAAAAGTGAGTAATTTTAAAGAATTATAAGCTATCTATGGTATATTAACGTCTCACATTCTTTAGCGAAATTCGGACACAAAGATCAACCGGCGAGCATAGATTTAAATGTGGTACGTTTGTGTTTTCAGGCTTTTTTAAAAACTGAGTCAGGTGTGAAACCATTACAACCTGTTGTATCGGAACCAGTTTTTGATAAAAAAGCTATGTCAGACCTCGTCATTTGTAGACTTTGTTGCTGTTCAGCAAAAGTAGGTGGCGGTGATGAAATTATTTTGCTATGCGAGAAGATTGCCAAAGACGATATTAAGATTATTAAAATAAGGTTTTATGAGCTCAGCAACGATAATCAACTTGTATGGGAAGATTTTGCTGAATTTCTACCTACAGATATACATAAACAGACAGCTATCGCATTTAAAACTCCACGTTATCACAATCAAGACGTATTAGAGAAAGCAAAGGTAACTGAATACGTTAATATTATGTACTCTTTGCATTAACTATATATTTTATGTTTAGGTTTTTATTCAATTGGTGCGGCCGTCTGATGGAGTTCAAAGTGAATCTATACCATTCGAGTACCACCCAGATCCAGGTATGCGTACTTTTACGCGTCTGCGCCGTAAACTTAAACGTAAAGAAGATTTAGAGATTTTTCAGCAAATACTTTCAATGGATAGTGAAACAACAGCTACCAAATACTCTTGTCCACCAACGGATCCAGATGCTGACAATGAATTTAACGATACTGTATCTACTGATAGTAGTGCCAGCAAGCCAAATAGTTCAGACACATTGAACGAATACGATGAAGCCGTAAAACGTCATACTGAAAGCGAAACTGATGGTGGCAATGAAAGTGAGAAAATTCGTGGCATGGAAATAGAGCTAGAGGTACCTCAAATCAGTTATCCAGCTGCTGATGAGAGCACGCAAACATCCACACCAATGGAAGACATATTGAAAAGTCAACAACTGGATACACCAAGGCAGTTGTCTACAGTAGATAAGATAACCAATTGGATGCGTTCTAGCGAATTTGAACGTACAGATAGTTTAACTGTGGAAAATGGGGATACTATATCGCTAAGTCCAGTAACAGTTTATACCAATGTTACCACCTTTTCAGCTAACAATCATACAACAATCTCAACTGCAACAGATGAAGATAAAACATTTAATGAACTTATGGAACAAGTTGCCGAGTATGATGATATGTTTGCTGATTCCATTTCAAGACGTGGCACTTTAGATAATCCCATCATTAAAGAATTGCCAATTGGTGGCGTAGCAGTTAACGAAGACGAAATACCCACCGTTATTGAAGGTTTTGCTGGTACAGCCAGCGCACAAGCTTCAATTGAACTTGACGAAAATTTTGATGAGACCGCTACTTACACTAGTCTACAAATTGCTTTTAAGAATCCTGTGGAAATACCCATTGCTACTAAGAAAGAATATGCAACTGTACCTAACACAGGAGCAATCGTTAATGAAGATGATGGCTTAGTTGTGCTTACCAATCCCCCAGCACCCAGAATTAAAGTAAATTCTGCGCAAACTCCACCATCTCCACTTTCTCCGCCATTGCCACCACGCACTCCTTCTCCTGTACCAGACCAAAAACTTCCACCTTTACCACCGAAGCGAAAAACATCTCAAGAGCTTAGTGGCACAGAAAGACCACCACCAAATGATGCCAACATGAGGACACGCAATGGAAGCATTACTTCACGACCACTTTCACAAATCATTATAATGCGAACACCTGATCAGAGTCCAACAAAACGCCAAACGACACCCACAGCCTCTCCAAAAAAGAAGCAAGGATTTTTTTCACGTTTGTTCTCACGACGTAAGAGTAAAAACGAAACATCAAGCATAGATGAGACCAATTCAAAGTCTGGAGGCTCTAAGGCGACAAGTCCCTCAGGTAGCCGTGAACCAAGTATTGGACATTTCTCACTCAACGATCCTAATCGCACTTCCATACGTTCTGGCATATCAATACCAAACAATTCTCCTGGACTTAGTCCACAGAATAGTACAAACGCCAATAAAGGTAGCAAGCCGGTGGGACGAAGTGTGAGCAGCGTATCTGGGAAACGACCGGCACATCTTAATGCTGATGTCATACATATACCACTCAAAGGCGATAGCGCAAGTAGCTTGCCACAGCAGGAAGCCTACTCTAATGCTAGTACCATAACGTTTGGTCATCAACTTGATCGTAAAACAATAAGTGCACTACAATTGGCAGACATACCAATTAATGATGGAAACATTGAATTGGTGGCCATTGCTGATCGCCAGAGCATTAAGAATCTGTGCGAGGGCGCTTATGGGGTTGTCCTTGATCCTGATGTTGATTTGTCAGAGGCAGAACATTTCGCATTATATACAAGCGTGCCGCCCGTTCCCTCAAATGCAAGTGATTGTATCGATCATTTAAACTATCAAGAACAAATCGAAAGTGGTCAACTGTTGTCGGTCAATGAGATAGCGCGACGGTTGGCGGAAGCTAATGGTCTGCAGTGAAGAGTTAATCGACATATAAGAAATACATATAGAAAAATCATTAATAATAGCTACAGGCAATAATAACTACGACTCTTTCCTGCTTTTAAAAACTGTTAAACTGTCATTAAACAAGCGAACGAAATTCTGAAAAATTCCCCTTTTATAGATTTATTTTATATTAAATTATGTTTATATATCTTTTTTTACCTTCATATATTTTCAATATTCTTATTTATGTTATTTGATATAGCAATTGTTTTTTATTTTAAATTTTGCGAATTTTTATTTTATGCTTCTTTAACATTTTTAGATCAGATCAAGCGTAAACGTCTTAAGACTGGCGGAAACCCAATGAATATTCTTAGAAGAGAATTACAAAAATATGAGAAACAGCAAAATGCTCAATTTCAAAATGATATTAAAGATATTTGTAAGTTTTTCCCTTTTTATTTTTCTTTCATTTACCTTTGTACCCTACATCCTACCAAACAAGTAGATCATTTGAATTTCATTTAATTCACATTCACTCTATGAATTATAAACATTTTAATGATGGGAACTGCATTTTACACTTCACTACTATCCATGGGAACATAGAATATATAATACAATACAGTTACGTACACATAAAACCATATACAGTTTTATACAAGCTCCCATATACAAGGATCTGGGTTCTCATTTATTTGCAAGATCGTTAACACAAACACAAATTATATCCACACAAGTGATTTTTCTATAGGTATATCCAATATAAATAATTATCGGTACGGAAATCGATATCAATTTTGTACGAGTAAAATAATAATTGTTATGTTTTTGAATATATATCTTTTTATGTACCGCATATATTTTATTAAAATTATTTATAAAATTTATTATGTCTAGCATACATATCGGATTCTAGTCATTGTCTAGTCATCGTATAGTTTCCCCAACCATAAATACCATATTATGCGAGTATATAAATAAGATAGCGATTTCACAAAAATAAATGACTTTAAATTAATTTATTTAAACATGATTTGATTTAATTATATTAATTTTAAATTTGTTTTAATAAAAATTAATTTAATTTGATTTAATAGAATTTAATTAAGATTTGACCATTTTTTTTTTTATTTAAAATAATTCTAAATTTATATGTAAATTGTGGAAACGGTTTTAATTATTATAAAATTATTATTAACGAGATTATAATAATAACTAATATTATTATAATAATAATTTTTATTTATTTATTTTCATCATAATATTTTTGTTGTCATAATATACAATAAATAGAATCGTCGATAAAGAATATAAAAGAAAATTAACAATTATTTAATTAGTTCAAAAAAATTTATATATATTTATTTTTAATATTTATGTTTAGTATTATTATTGTATTATTTATATTTATGTAATTTATTTTAATTATATATTTTTTATTATTTTATTAATGTATTTATCATTACATTTTAATAATTTTTAATTACGATTTTCCTGTTTTATTTTTTTTTTTTTTGGTAACTTTATGTTCCTATAAGTACAAATTAATATTTAGTTTATTTCTTTTAAATAATAATTTTGTATTCAGTTAAAAAATTTTTAAAATTCTTATTTTTCTTAAATGGTAAATTATTGAAATTTTTTATCATGGGATAGACGTTTGAATATATATAAAAATGTTTATAATTTTTCTGATTAATATTTGTAGTTTTTTCAGATAATAGTTAAATAGTTAATAGTTATAATAGTTAGATAAAAATTATTTATTATATTTTTCTTTAACATTTACATTTTTTTTATACAAATCTTGTATAAATTTTATAATTACTGTTATTGAAGTCATCCACATTTTATATTTGCGATAAAAGTATATTATTTTCAAATTGTTATTAACTTATTGAAAATTATTATTAACTATTTGTACTTTTTATTAAATGTCTTTGTATCATTTTTATGACTTTTTTTCATTTATTTATTATTTCGTTAATATTTTTTTACTGAAGTTACTTTGTTACAAAATGATTAACTGTATGATTGTTAATACAAATATAATTATATTAATATATTAATATATTTTAATTAAGTCTTTGCAATTTTTTTTTTAAAAATGTATATCTTTTGTTTTTATTTTATTATATTCATTTCTTTCTTACATTTACTAATAAAATATATAAATCTATACATTTATGCATATAATATTATTAATAATATTATTAATATTGTTATTTTATTAAATTATATTTTTCTGACCCATAATTTCAATATACGGTTTCGAATATATTTTTTTTAAAAGTCAAGAATATATATGACCCGGTTTATTTAGAAACTTCAGTTTCCTAAATTTTATATTACAAATGTATACCTAAAATAGACTTAAGAAGTAATATTTTTTGAAAGATTGCGGTACCCAAATAAAACTATTTATTAAAACTATACAAAAATATAAATAAATTAATTATACATAAAAAATTTTAAAAGGAATTTAAATAATAAAATGTTGGACCAAATTTATTATACAAAAATGAAATTTATTAAATATTATATTATAAATTTAAAAATCATATAGTTATAAATTTTAATGATATATGTTATTCTTAAAATGAGGTTAAGCAAAATATGTGTTTCAAATAAAATTAAAAATAAAAACTATGCATAATCCATTTAGTGAATAAAGGCTATAATGAGTAAAATGTTGTTAAAAAATTTCCAATTAATACAAATTGGCATTTTATGAAAAATAAAATAAAAAATGTACTTATATATAATTTAAAAAATAACTTAATAATTTGAACTTAATAGAGTTAATAATTATTACAAAAAAAAAAGTTTCAAACAAATTAATTTTTTATTAAGTTGAAATAAAAAAATTAAAATAATAGATAAATTTTATTTAATTAAAATTAAATAAAATATAATAAAAAAATTTTAATATATTATAAAATAATAGAATTATTTTATTGTAATTTTATTTTATTGTAGTTACTCGTTAAAAAATTTAATAAGTAATGTAATTTGCACATGAGATTTTAATTATGTTATTTAATTTATTTAATTATATGAAAATAAATATATGAAGTTATTTATTCAATATATATCCTCTTTTAATTTAAAGAATTATTAGTATAATTATTTTTATATAAATAATTGAATCTATCTATAGTAGATAGATTTATTTTAATTTTTTAATGAACTCCCAAGTAATACTATTTTTTTTTTTTTGAATTTTGTTAATTAAAAACAAAGAATATATAAAGAAAATGAAGAAATAATTAGCTCAAGCAGTTTTAAACAACGATACATAATAATATATTGAAGATAAAATTATTTAAATTAAAATTATATAAAATAAATAATAAAAATTATCAACCTTGCTATTATATTTGATTACCAAATATTTGTAAATGGTTAAGAATGATTATTTTCTTTACTACGCAATAATAATTATTTTAAAGTCATTTTATAAATGCAACAAAGAATTTTTTATTTTTATTTATATATATTGCTTTTTGAATAAAATAAATTTATACTACTATTAATATTTGTCAAAGACGTTAAAATCATCTCTGAAAATTTTGGTTTGATTTTAGATACAAAAAAAATAAAAAAATTTTGAATTCGTCATAATTATTTTAAATAATTATTTATATATATTCACTATATATATATACTGTGAATATATTCTTTCAATAATTGAGTTTAGAAAAATTACCAAAAAACTAATCAATATACGGTTCTGTGAAGAACTTTTCTTAGACCCTTTTTTAACCATTAGAAAATTGGAGATGTAGTTTCTTCTCACTTCTCTTCCTGATTCCTGAAGCATAGGTTTTTAAAATCATAATTAAAATTTTTAAGGTGTTCCATTTTAGTGCTTTGATCATTTAATAAATGTATGTAATTGTGCTTTCTTCAAAAACGTTAATAATTAAATTAGTATTATAATTTCCTATCTAAACTAAAGAAAGGTTAACTATAATATTTCTGTTAACTGGAAATATAGATATTTTATATTACAAATGTCAGTGTTTTTCGCAGAATTTAAATATTTACAAAATTAATTTATATAATATTTTAATAGCCAATTGATTATATATTGGCATTGCGACATGAAACCTCATTCTAGTAACCATGCCTTGATTTTTTAAACCACAAAAAATTTAAAATAATAATGTTATAAAAATGATTAAAAGGTTGATCTTTGCTGAATAAAAACTAATATATGAGTGTATAATGATTTATCAACAAAACTTATTAACAAATGACGTGTTTAAATAAAAATATACATAAATAAAGCATATAAAGTGCTATCTCTTTATTATAGAGGAAAATATTAAAAAAGTAAATATTGAAAAAAAAATATTTTAAGTCTGAAGATAGTATTTTGTTTGAAACATTTCAAAAAAATAAAAATATATTTGTAACACAATTTCAAAAAAATACAAATAATATACAAATGCATATATTCATATATAGAAGCAAAAAACAAAGAAAATAAAATAGTATTTATTAATATGACATAAATATGTATAGTATATATATATAAAAGAAAACAAAAAAAAAATATATATATATATAAATATAAATATATATATGTATATTAATATATATATTAATATATCTTATAATGTATATATAATATATATTTTAATATTTATATATAATTATATATTATATTATAATTATATATTAATAATGTATATGTCTGATATGTTTAAAATTAGTTTTGCGAATTACATTAATTTATATGTAACGTATATATATATATATCATATATTACGCTATTACGCATATAAAAAATATTGAATATATTTACAAAATGTATAGCAGTAACAATATATTGTTGTAATCAATTAAATAATATACAAATATTTTTTTTTGCATATGGACTATATATTATCTGTACCTATATCATCTGTCAACTGCATATGGAGTTATAAATATTGTTAATAATTAAATGCACAAAACATGAATTGTAAATTATTTCGAATTAAAATAAAATTGTATAAAAAAAATGTGTTAATATTTAATATTAATATTTATTATAAAAAGTGTATTCATTTAATTCAATTTCAATTTTAAGTAAGTTTTTACAATAATTATTACTGTAAAATAAATTGTTGTTGTTGTGTATATATTAATGTGCATATTTGTTGTATTCAATCTCATATATAAAATTTTTTATTTAT